CAAACATGTTGCTGCTCCGGCCATCCCCGAAAGGAAGCCGCAAGACAACCCTGCTGCCTTTCTGGTAGAGTCGATGCCGCTTTTAAATATCTCGACACAGCAGAAGGTCCTGCCAAGAGCCGGCAACAAGGAGACTTTGAGCTTGGACGAGAAGCGCGTAGCCACTTGTTCGTTACTGTTTGCAGGCCAAATGGTGGGATTCATGATGGCAAGATGCTTGGAAGTAACCTCCCTTCCAAACTGTAACTGGAAATTGGTTGCTCTGCTGAAGCGCAGGAGATACGACGAAACACCGACTCGCATATCACTGCGGGAGAAGAGGAGTGTCAGGGCGTCCGAGAAAGAGTTTGGCAAGCAAAAAGTCACAACAGAATGTGCCAAAGTCTTCCAGACTGAGCTTGGTTTGGGGCTTGTTTTGGCCAACAAGTCGTCAGGGCAAAGTTTGTTGATGCGGTTCACGATGCCCACAATCATGAGCTGCGTCGACAGTGCTTCTGCGGAGAACGTGAAGCGCACACAGCTGGAGGCAGAGGCATTAATTGCATCCTTGGACGAGATCCAGAGCAAAGTTGGCCATGTCTTTTCGCTGCCTTGTACAGATCGGGCATCCTCCAACATAAAGGCTGAGAATGACATTGGGAGCCAAAGCGCAAGTGCTGTGAACTGCCACTTCCTGTGCCAGGTCCACAAAGCATCCCAAGTTCAGTCAAAACAATTTGACCATTGCGAGAGACATATATCCGGGCTTCTTCACTGCGCCCTGGCCATGCGCGGGGCTGGGACCCGGGGTGAACTCCGGAAGATGCTCTTCGAAATCATCGAATCAAGGCTCAGCATTCACTTGGGTGAGGCACCACCCCAATATGCAGAGCATCGAAACTGTGTGTTGGACCTCTATGTCAATGGTAAGTACAACCAACATGGGAAATCTCCACAGAAGCGATTGGCATTGCAGAGATGCATCCTTTCATACTTCTTCCCAGGAAACATCCAGGATGAGAATGTCGTCGAATTCTATGTGAGGGAACCAACTTCGCGACAAGAGGTTCTTTCTTGGTACAAGCAATGGGCCATCCCTATGCTGTTGCCGAGCGTTTGCCCGATCTACCCTAGGTCCAGATGGATAGGTGGTGAGTGCAGCTTGAACTGGGCAGGCCTGCTCTGCTCCTTTCACAACTTGTTGAAACCCTTGATGCTGAAGTTCGGAGCTCCTCGTGGATTTCCCGCCCCAGCAGAAGCACCCAGGACTTCAGCAACCTTGCACACATTTCAAAGTGGCTGGGATTGTGTTGCAGTGCCTGCAGAGGTCCGGCCTGACGAGTCTCATGAGTCTGAGCATCAAACTGATGCACCTGATCTTGAAGCTGAAGGTTGGGCCAACTCAGTGGATTACAACCCTTTTCTGGCTGCCGACAGTGAGCGGGACTTGCTGGACAGGGCAACCGGCAATGTGGACTGGCAGCGCTTAAATGCATCAATGAAGCTTCGGGCCGCACGGTGGGCCGATCGTCCCGATGTTGGTGCTGCCCTCATCTGCATGAGGAGCTGCATGGAGCCGTGCCTCCACCTGATGCACAGTTTGTTGGAGCTGGCATCCTTGAAATTCGACAGGAAACAGCAAAGTCTGGTGGCTCGAGGCAAAGTGCGTGACTACCGAGTTGTGGCAGTTGCAAACTTGACAGTGAGGGTCTTCCAAATGATCAATGGCAAGTTCCGTGACACAGTTCGAGCTTTGCCCTTGCAGCACATGACACGCAGGACCCGAGTTCTGCTTTTCAGGATGCTCTCGAGGGCAGGTGGTGGGATCAACATGCTCATGGGCCGCGACCAAGGATATCCCTTCAGGCTTTTTCATTTGCTCCTGTCAGGGCAGGTGGAGAAGATCTTTCAAGATCCTGTTTGCTTGTATGATGAGCTTACCACCAAACTGCTCATGAAGTTTCCAGATTCTAAAGCTTTGACATCGCTGGAGGGATCATCTGTCGTGGAAGCTCTTGCAGAGATGATTTCTGTGGACATCGCTGGAGTAGAAGCTCGACATGCTGCTGCTCGCAGAATCAACAGCATTCGTTCATGCCAAGCTCACACGATGAGTTTCGAATCCTTATCCTCCTTGACAATCACACGAAGTCTGGTTAAACACCGCCTCGATTGGTTGGAAGCCAGGGGCCTTTTGCCTCCCAAGGAGAAAAGGAGAAGGCGGCGAGAGGCGAAGGAGAAAAAGTTCCATTGTGGTGGTGGGGCATGGAGAGCTTTTCTTCACCTGAAGAAGGGTGGCTTTGCCAAGAGCAAGGCCCTGAGTCCACTGTACCAGCAGATCAAATCTCAGGGTCTGCAAGAGTGGCAAGACTTGAAAGAGATTGGGAAGATGGGCACTGTGTCAAGCAGAGCCGGGCATGCCTCATTTGGCAAGAGGAAGTTTGCTGGCAAGAAGCAATTGCAAGCCATTGCTGCTCCCCAAGCCTTGGAGCAACAGCTATGTCGGGTGGCGCAGGCTTGCAGCCAGGAAGCTTTGCGAGACAAGGAGGATTGGCAGCAGACAGTGGCTAGTGTTGCAAAGCATGCAAGTGAAGAATGCGGCCGTCTTGTTTCGCTAGGCCATGCTGCAAATGATGGGGGGACGCCTGTGACCAATCCAGCAGCGCTGCTGGCCAAATCCATGGCGCCCTCGATGCTGCCTTTGTCTTTGTCTGGATCCATGCTTTCCAGAGGGCTCCCAGCTGCAGAGGTTCCAGACACTGAGGTGGATGGGTTGGATGGCTCAAACTCCGGGTCCAAGCCATCTATGCTTTCTGTGGAGTGCCTACCTCCAGTGGCAGAACTTGTCAAGGACGGGATGGTTTCGGCCCCAAGTTCAAGCAGCCTGTAGGCTCTAGACTCTAGACTCTAGTGTGTGTGTGTGTGTGTGTGTTTATGGCTACTTACTACAACCTGTCTTGGTTCAGTAACTGTAGCAACTGTAGCGCTGTAGCCAGTGTTTAGTCTCAGTGTGTAGGTGAGCCAGTGACTGCCAGTGGCAGAGGTTGACACCCTTCCCCCGACCTGAAACCTGAGCATATAGCAGCCATTCTCCGCCAATCACCAGTATGATCAGGACCCAACAGCTGAATAACTGGGACTAGTGACTAGTGACTAGTGGCTACTGAGCGACCATGACCAGGACCTAGACTCCTCTACTCGACGTGGCAAACTCAGACTTGGACATACTTTGTCATCTTTTGCAGCCCACCTATCTTGGCGGCTACTGAACTGTGCTACATAGATCTGATCTATCAGAATCTATCATCTATCAGCTATCAAAAGAGAGATTGACAGATTAACATTTGTTGACTGCTGATGGCTACCAGTGTAGACAAGAACGTCTACTAGTAGTTAGTAGAAAATCATGATTGTATTGGTTGTATTGAATTTTATTGATTGTCGTGTGCCAAAATTGACTTAGCCGGACATAGCCATGGAGTCGCAGACAAGCAGGGTTTAGGGAGTGTCTGATACTCGTTAATCCATTGTTGAAAGCATTTGTTGAATCACCATCTGGGCTAGAGTCGGCTAGCGGCTAGAGCGCTTGGCAGAGGTTTCTCTTGTTGTTGTTGTTGGTGGTGGTGGTGGTGGTGCTGTGCTGTTGCTGCACAGATCTAAACTAAACCCAATCCCCAACCTCTGACTCTACTTGATATCATTAAAATACAAATACCTCCTCCAGCCCCTGAAGGAATTCTTCAGCACTTTGCCCAACAGAAGTGGCTTGCTCAAAGAGCTCGTGGAGGTCACCCAGTCTCAATCTGCAATGCGTCTGCACTGCGATGCCCCATCTCTGTCTGGGGTGCACAGGGGGCTGGACTTTCATGAGCAGGAATGTTGCAAAGTTGCAGAGTGTGTTTGTGGCAAGCACGTGACTGCCCAAAGGATTCATGCCAATCTGGTGTCACTTTTCCGCCCTTTCCTGCGGGTCAAGCCTGCAGCAAAAGCCAAGCCAGACGCCGACAGTGCTCGGCAAGGATCAAAGCCTGCAGTGCAGAAGGGGAAGAAGCCTGTCCCGCGGCTTTTCATGGAGCAAGGGCTTCTGGTGTTCAAGTTCACAAAGCTGCCGCCAGAGGGACAGATGCCGAGTTTTGACACAAGTGCAGGTTGGGACACAGTCTGCCAAGAACCTCTTGCGGATGCTGATCAGGACTCCGGACAAGGCGTGGAGCAATCCCACGTGGACGAAAGCATCTGGGTGCATGTTTCATATGCCAATTTTCGGGACTGGCACTTCAGCTTCCTCCTGTTGGATGAACAGCCTGAGTCCCAGGTAACAACAGATGGTCGGCAACTGACTGTGCTGCGAGTTCCGGAGCCCTCAATTTTCTTGCGGGACACTGTGGCATTCAAACAGAGATTTGATCTCAAGTTTGCTTGGAAGGCTGCGATGTATATCATCTTTGTTGACGACAGCGAGCTGGCTCCATTAGACATGGCGCCTGAGGTTGTTGAAGTGCTTCGGCTGGCCTCTGTTCCGGAGCTGCTTGTGTGGAAGGCTACTGTTGGTTGCAGCGAAGTGTGTTTTCACATGTGGTGATCTCTTGTTGTTTCAGTGTCCAGTTATTAGACTGACTAGTTTCCGCTGCCACTAGTAGTTACATTAGTTATCATTAGTCACAGTCATTACCCAGTTAGTCAGTTAGTCACTGTTAGTTAAGTTAGTTAGCTAGGTCGCTGGGTTAGTTAGCTCTTATCAGCACAGCTGAGTAGCTAGCAGCTAGCAGTTATGTCATTTTTGTTACCGCAACAGTCATAACATTATGGAAGCAGATGCATAGGCTGCAAGTAGAGTCAAGTGCGCATGGAGGGAGTAAGGCTCGGTAATAAATTGAGACTAAATCACTAAGTCACTAAGTCACTAAGTGGCTCAGAAATACAATTTTCCGGTATTCAATAGTCAATAGTCAGGAGCGATAGTTTGATAAACATGCTTCAATTCTGCTGTTTTTTGCCTTGCAGTCTCTGATCAGGGTGCGATGGAGGAAAAGAGACTGCAGAAGCTGTATGGCACGAAGAAGCGCAGTGGTGGAAAACCGAGAAAAAGAAAGAACAAGAGTTCATCTTCTCGACCTTTGAAGAAGCCGCGCCAGCTTGGAGCAGCTGCTGCTGCACCTGACGATGCTGAAGCTGCTGATGGTGCCGACAATGCCGCTGCAGCCGAGGACAGTGAAGGAACTGATTCCCAGGCTTCTTCGGAGGCCGAGGCATTGTCCGATGATGATGCTCCAGTCGCTCCATGGATTCTCAGACAGATTGATGTGGTAGAGGCTGCCAAGGCTGCCAAAGCCAAGGCCAAGCCAAAGAGTTTGGCCCAGAAGATCAGCAAATGGCTGCCGAAGCGTGGGCCCAGATTTGGTGGCGACACTGGAGGGGGAGATGGGCCTGCAGGGCCAGCTGCATCAGCAGAACCGGCATCGTCGTCGACCGACCCCATGCCAGCTCGTGCAAATCCTCCTCCAGCCGAATCTGCAGAAGATGGCGATGAAGCCCTCCAAGTGGCAACTTCTGGCAGGAAGCGGTCCTACCTCGAGCAAACGTGTGATATTGATGGTTTTGGTTCCATTCACTTCTATCCACCAGCCCAAAACTTTGTTGCTTTCTGCCGCCAAAAAGGCCATGAAGACTGCAGAAAATCCAGGACATGCAAGCCATCAACTTTACCTGCCCGTGCAGGGCAGGGCAGACCTCTTGGACTGCTGGCTCAGTGGCTTTTCTGCGGCAAGGACCATTCCACTCGAGAGGCTCACCAAGCTCCTAAGCTGTTGTCATCCTTTACACAAGCTGAACGATTGTCGGCCCGGCAACGCTTCTTGAAGCTCCCTGGTGCAGAGGCGATGGCCCGCAACGAGCGGGTGAGAAGGGAGGATGAAGCTGAAGAGCCGGATCGAGTTCCATAAAGCGGCTCCCATGACAACATCAGATGCTCGGTACGCGTGTTGCAGTGCTTTGCCCATGAAGAGAAAAAAAGCAACTCAGCACTGCCAATTTTGCCAGATTCAGTGATGCTCAGCACTTGCCAAACTAGCAGCTAGCCGGGAATCCCCTTTGCATATGCAATCCCACCAATCCACTCTCAGATTAGATCAGATATGTGTTCCGGCAGGATCTACATGGTGCTGCTGAGGAAGGACATCTACTCTGCAGATGATGCGACCAAGCTGAGTTGCATCATGCAGGCGCTTTGGGCTGCAGTGATTGCAGTGAATATGAAAGTTGCCAGCTGTTTGAGCATGCAGCAGGTGGTTAAAGTTTCGGCCATCATGTCAGTTGCAACATGAGTCTGAGTACAGTGTACAGTGTAAAGCAAAGGCTAAGTCGGCTAAGTCGGTTGAGGGATGTTAATCTGCTAATCAGTGTGTTTGCTGCATATGAGGAGATCTTGGATGGCCAAAAGGAGGTGCCTCCAGCGTCTATTCGTGAGCTTATGATGCAGCCTGACCATCCACAATATGAGAAGAACCTGGAGATTCTTGCAAAGCAAGGGGCGAAGAAGGCCTGGCAAGCTGGGATTGGGTGGGCATGTCAAGGGTCACAATTTCTGTCACATTTCCTGCTGATTCACATTTCCCGTCACATTTTTCGAACCATGGATTTTCCAGTGCTTTCAGGGCCACATTTTCGGAGCTTTTTTTTCACATTTGATTCACATTTGATTCACATTTTTTTCACATTTTTTTTCACATTTTTTTCACATTTTTTTTGCATTTTCCCTAGGGAGTGACCACTTTTCGGCCCAGGCCAGGGCGGGCTGGCATGGGGGGTCTGGGGGCGGTGAACGGGGGGGGCCGGGCACTCCCCGCACCAGCCCAGGGGCCCAGGCCTGGGGCCCCGGCCAGGGCCAAGGCAACGTGAGGATTGGGGCCGGGCCGGGCGTGGGGTCTGTATTCTGGAGCTGTGGCCTGGGGTGGTTGGGGCGCCTTGCTTTGAGATGTTGAGGGAGGGGGCACAGGTTATGGGTGCGGGCCCGGGGCTTTGGGGCCCAAACTTTGGGGTGCACAGGTTGCTTACTGACTGATAAGTGGTTGGGGACTTTCCGGGCACAAAAGGTTGCTTATGCTGATGGGTGGTTTAGGCTTCAGGGTTGCAGAACAGCTCCATACAGAGTTTGATTTGGGTCCCTTTGGGGCCTGCATTGTCTTGAGGAAGCTTAGCGGCTTAGCTGCGTTGCGTTGTTTGTTCAGTCTTGCAGCTTGAGTTCTTGGAAGCGTACAAGCAAGGCCAGGCAGACTGTGACTATCAGATCATGGATGATCATAGTTGTTCATGTTGTGCTGCATGTTTCCCTTGGGCCTTGGGCTGATTTGCTTCGGCATGCGTTGTCAGAGTCTGTCGGGGTTTGCCAGAAGTCAATGTAGGAATGTAGGCTGTGCAGGTCAGTGCTTTGTTGAACAGATGTGCATGCCCAAGAGTCCAAGTCCAAGAGCCAAAAATCAATAATTTAGAAGCTGCCCGCACCCTGTAATAGTGCCATAAGGATTATATTAATATTATACATATATATATATATATATATATATATATTAGGGCCCTATTGTATTCCTATTATACCACTATTACAGGGTGGGGGCAGCTTCTAATCAATAATCTATCAATATAAACAACAATCATTAATCATTAATCCCATTCACCAAAATTTCCTGGCCCTATTGAACTATTGATAATGATTACTTATAATGTCCAATACTTTCTCCAAATAGTATTATGTTAGTATGTTAAAGCTTCTTATTGCCATTGTAATGTACCGCATTGGCGCCGCATTGGCACTAGTCGCTGTTCACTATTCAACACGGTCACCAAAGCCTTTAGCAGTCACTCGGGTAATTGGGCAATTGGGGGACTTCATAGTTCCAAGCAGATTCTTCTGTGCAGGATGCCCGCACTCGTGGCGACAGCGGGGGCTTCCCTGCCTGGAAGGCACAGGCGGTTCGGTGGAGCGAAGCCATTGGAGTTGATGTTGCTAAGCACCGTGTTTGGACAAGTCGGCGAGACTTTGTGGGACGGGGTGTTCCACAGAATGAGCGGGTGCAAACCATGCTTGATCTGGTGTGTCTCCAGAAGTGGTCTGAGCATCCAAACCGTGGGTACCTTCGTGATGTTGTTTGGCCTGACCTCATGTGCAATGTGTTCCTGGACTGGAGCCAAAATCCAGCTCGCAGGGCTTATTCAGGAAAGAATGGAGAGATGCGCTGTTTGACTACATCCTCCCAACTCTACTCCTTTGAAGCCGACCGGGCACTCTTTCCGATTGAGTACATGAGGCTCCAGGGATGGGGCTTTGACATTGCTATCCCTGAGCAGTGTGCAGGGAAGATGCGAGAGCTGTCAGGGCAAGGCATGTCGCTGCCGTGCCTCGGAGTTGTGATTTGGGCAGTGTATCTGCTGAAGGGCCTCCCGTCTTGTGCCGTTCATGCTGATGATGATGGTGATTGGGAGCTTGATTTGCGCTGACAGACCTCTTGCTTTTCTGAGCAACTTTCAATACTTCCTCCTAGGTCCTAAGTCCTAGGTCCTAGGTCCTAGGTGTAGGTCTAGGTCCTAGGTGCCAGGTCCTCACTGTCGCAACCCAACCCAACAAACCGAACCGTACCTACCGGACCTAACGACCTAACCTAAAGACCTAAACTATGCCCTAGAACTATAACTTAACTAATAAACTAAATTTACCTGAAGTATAAATTAATTGAGTGATTGACTGTTATTAACAGTAACAAACAACTACCTAAAGCCGCCAAGACACTGGATTGACTAGACACTAGTTCATGGGTACTAGGATTACTAGGATAGTAGGACTGCTAGGACTAGGAGTCTAGCGGTCTAGCGTCCTAGATTTGCAAGTAACTAGACTGGCCTGACAAAGCTTGACTAAGCGATTCAGTCATTTGTTGATCGTTGATTCCTTGGGGTGTGTCAGTCAGCTCAGATTTGTCAAGATGGTCTTGGCCGTAGCCTGTCAGGCTTTGTTTGTGGACATGCCAGGCAGCATCCACTGGATTGGTTTCCAGGGATGATGATCCTGTGGCCCACGGGTTGGTTGTGATATGTTTGTAGTCATTGTAATTGTAGTCATAGGTTTAGTATGTTTAAGTTTAATGGGAATACACCTACCTGTGCCCTGTGTGACAGGTGACCCTAGTGCCCTAATGATTCCTAATGGCCCTAGTGCCCTAGTGACTGCCCTTTGCGACTCTATCTAGATTCTAGACTCTACTAGCCTCTAGTGGCTAGTGATGTGCTGCTTCAGTAGCCGGGCCCCCCACTAGAAAAAAACCATGTAAACCTTCCATTCAGCAGGGGCAATGTGTAGGGCCAGTGGCGGCCAGTGTAGGACAGTGTAGGAGCGTAGGATTTGTGGGAATGTAGCAGTTCAGTAGAGCAAAGAGCAGCTAATGATGCAGCTAATGAGCTAATGAGCCCATGAATGTAGAAACAGTGTAGTGTAGCTGTGGAGCTTGTGTTCGCAGCATTGTTGCTGGCACCAGCGATGTTACCGTGTTAGCCTTTGCAGGTACTATCATCATATTGCTACTCAGCTGAGCAGCTGACAGCTGTCAGCTGGCAGTAGAATTTTGCACAACATCAGGTCCACAGGTGTGTTGCTGTGCTGTCCACAGATTCTGCCTTCACGCTTGGGAACATATCCTTCACTGCCTACAGGCCGCAGTGGGGATCATGTTCCAATGCTGCTGTCATTGCTGATTACAGTGATTACTGATTACAGTCACATCTTTAATCCCTAAGCCTAAGCCCTACGGTTGATGATATAAATCCTGCATTACCTTAGGGAGCCTAAACTATGGGAATTATGGTATATTCCTTATTATGGGTGATGCAGGATTTATATCATCAACCGTATGCCCTAAACCCTAAGCCCTAAACTTTTGCAAGGTCGGGAAGGACACGAGTCGGCATAGCTTGATCACCTACAATCGAACTAACACCTCAATCTGCCGAAAGTCCTTTCCGACTGTAGCAGGAAGGGCCCTTAAAAACTTTTGAAGCCGGCCCTCGCCTAGACTCTAGACCTAGCCGCACCTAGCCCACAGGTCTGAACCTACCCCTACCCGGTACTACCCCTTAAGCTTGAAACCTTAAGCTTAACCTGAAGCCTTAAGCCCTGAGCCTAACTGTCCTAACCCATACTGCCATACTGCTAATCATTGCTAATCGAGAGCCTCAATCCTTTGATTGGAGCAAAGTACCAAGTAGTAGTTCAAGAACAACAGCAGCAACAACAAGAACAACACCGTCGTGGCTTTCTTTGAGCAGGTATGTCTGCCTATGTGACCGACATAATGTATACTGCGTATGAGTGTATGGCTGCCCCAGTCCCGAGGTCCCCAGGCGCTCAGGGCTCTAGCCGCCCTGCCCTAGGTAGGTCTTAGGTAACCATTATCATTAACAGAGTGAGTGTCAAGCATACGCCAGGTACAGAGTTAAGTAGAATCTAAGTAGACTGGACAATGTATCAGCTGCAGCTGAAATCTTGGTCAAGCGAATCATGTGGGAACGCTGTTTTTTTGTGGCCGACTGCTCTTGGGCTGGGAGGGGATGGCCGAATTTGAATAGCTGAGTATCAATACTTCAATACTAAATTTACTGTATTGGTGACTTCATTCAATCTATTTAATCGATTGGCATCAGCTTCAAAGACTCACATCAGTTCAAAGTCAAGTCTTCACTAGCGGCACTAGCGGTCACTAGAGGACTAGCGGTCGGTAGTGGTCACTAGCGGTGTCCAGCTTATCTGTTGTCACTGGCCATGCCCTTCTTGTTTCAGGAGACAGTGAATGTCACTGACTCATCTGTGTGATTCCGTGTGTGTGTGTGTGTGCATGCACACACTGGGGCACAGCTGATTCTGGTTGCCCGTGTCGGCAGGGATGCTGAGACAGACTGCTACTGAGTTTGTGGAATCTGATAACTCTTGTGATTCACTTTTTATGATTCTAGTAAGTCAGTAAGTCCTAGTATCTAGTAGCTGCACCTAGTATCTTGTTCGGTCAATGTGGTGAATGTAATGTATGAATGTATGGTCATGTTGTTTTCTTCTCAATCTTTATTCATGATTCAATTCCTAGGTCCTGGTTGCTCAGCTACTCTAATTTACAGCGTTTGAGCACAGCTGTAATCCCGTCTGCCGTCTGCCGGCCAGGTGCCTCCAGCCGTAGAAATAGTACAGAGAAATCATGTTTCAGGTGCTTCTCTGAGTACCAGTATGACGTATGACGATCAATGCTGCTAGATTTGATCTGCTTGATAGCCCGGAGTGCCCCCCACCTTCCAGTAGGCCTGTGGCTTACTGTGGGGGGTTTGCCGAAAAAAACACTTGGCCACAGAAACTCTCGAATCCTGTGGACTGTGGGAAAAATGTGTGGCTTCATGGGCGCTGAGCTGCTCTGAAGTTTCTGAAGTATGTGTAATGAACTGCTCATGTTTGCGACCGCGACAAGCATTCGATTCTATCAGATTCTATCAGAATCAGTGTTTTGTGAGATTTGTCTGATTTTTGCCGACCGGACGTAGCCGCTTTCGATCAGCCGGCCCCACAGGCTTGACATTGCCTTGTGACCCATCTTGCTTGCAGCAATGATGTCCAGGGAGGACGGGTCGGGTGTGGCAGGCATCATCTCAAGTTCCAGCAAAGCCCTGTCTGTTCAGGAGCCCAAGAGCAAGAGGCCTCGCGTGGTGAGTGTGGCCTCGTTGCAGTGCTTGATCTGCAAGAAGAACCCCAAGGCACTTTTCAGTCGTCGAAATGTCCTGGGTCCTGGGTTTTATGTTGGTTGAGGAAACTTTTCTTAGTGACTCTAGTAATCTAGTAACTGGTAACTAGTAAGTAATCTAGTTCGAATCAATAAATCATAACTAACTGACTAACGAATCAGCCTAATCAGTGACTAATCAGCATGTAAAGCAGCCCTAGCCCTAGCTGCTCCCTGGCCCTAGCTATAGCTAAAGTGTTAAGGGATTCAAGAGAAGCCTGATGTGCGCAGGAGGTCGAGTGGGCATCCTTCAACTCCAAGAGCCAACCGACGGGTTTGTGGTGTGGAGTGCATTTGAAGGTGGTGATACAGCTCTACCCCGACCAACCGCCGGAGGTTGTTGCCGTCCTTTATCATGAAGACTCGGAGGCTGGACGTACTTGCAAACGAGTGATTGATGAGGCAGCCCAAAACCTGAAGGACGGGGTTGAGTTCAGCCTGCCTGCAACTGTGAGCTCCATGGCGAGCCAGGGAGTCCGCTTGGTGTTTGAAATGGCCTTCTGCTCAGAAGGGGATGTTGTCCGCCTTGCGGGGCACTCCAGCAAATTCCTCAAGCTGCAAGAAGTCCTGCTGCAGCCCGAGCAGCGTGGGCACCCAGTGCTTGCAGGCTTTTTGTTGAGCCTCCGGGGGTTGCCGCTGGACGAGGTGTTGAGCCTCAGGCGTGTCCAGGTCTATCGCGACACGGCTCTGGTTTTGCGCGAGGATAACTTGCAGCCTGAAGGTATGGTACACGAGTCCCAGCCGTCAGTGCTGTTGACGTTCCTTTCCCGCAAGCAGACCGAGAGCTACCCCAAAGAGTTTGTGGGCCACTCGACCCGCACGGTGCCTCCTACCCTCCAGCAGCTGATCCAGCGGGGTGCTGACTTCAAGCAGCAGGCCTTTTTACATGACAGTCTAGCAGTCTCGCAGCTTAGGCTTAGCATTCTCGAATCAGCTCCTTGCTTGGTTCTCTTAAGGTCCTGAGGACCGTGTGAATGAATAGTTAATAGTTGAGATGTGTGTTATGGTTACAGTTACTGGTACTATGATTGTGTTCATAGATATCATGGTGAAGTTATGGTTCAGGTCACGGGGATTGCGGGAATGAAAATTTGTGGCTCTAGCGGACTCTAGACTGTAGCCGATATGATCATGATTATCCTCGTCCGCAAGCCCTAAACCCTAAGGCCCAAACAGGATAGGGGCAAAGTTTCTATATGTTTCGATCCCCCACATATCTTTTGGGGAATACAAATCTGCAAGGAGACCAGAGAAACGATTATGTGATTATGGCCGACAGTGGCTTATAGTTATGATGTTTATTGTACTGGTCTGCTTGGCTGCTTGTGAATTCTTGCCAGTGACTAGGGACTAGTGACTAGTGGCTGCTATAGCTAGTGACCAGTGTTGACAATTAGGTCCCGAGGTACCAAGAGAGATGGGAAGCGCGGTTCGGTGAATCGGGATGCCATAGTTACCCCATTTTACACTCATTGTAGATATGGTCCTAGATTCGTAGCTGTTCCATACTGTTAGATGACCATGTCTGATGAGTTCTGCATTCTGCAACAATGACTCGACGAAACAGGGTAGCAAGTTGGTCTGGTTGCCGGTTGCCGGTTCAAGCCAGTTTGCATTCTAGTAACTAGTATTATGTGTCTAATAATTAGTATTAACCACCCAGAATCTAGCAATCTAGGAATCTACTTGGGGTTCTACGTTTACTGCTGCCAGTGGTTCCCACCAGTCACCAGTCTGGCAGTCACTGGTCCGGTAGTCAGTCGAGTAGTCCGGCACCCGGTAGTCACCGGTAGTCACCCAGTAGTCACGTTAGCCGTTAGCCACTAGTCATTAGTCACGAGGTTATAGTAGTCTTAGTCGTCAGGGTAGTCACAAGTCACTAGTTAACTGGTTATAGTCAGTGGATGCTTGTTGCTGAGTTACTGCTGCTAGTTGGCTGCTAGTTAATGCTAGCTGCGAGTTTCCAGTTACTTATTTTGCACTGCTTCCGTGACTATCCTGGACACTGACTGATCAGATCCTTGTGCAGTTTTTTCATAAACCCTTTTTGAGTGACTGCCTGCCTTTTGACAGGCAGCAGCTGTTGCTGTCGAAAGCGAGGAGGAGGAGCTCGAGGAAGAGCTTGCAGAGGAGGATCTGCAAGATGTCATTGCACAGACAAGGCCCACCCGTGGTGTTGGGCCTGGCCGCATAGCAGTCAGCTCAGCCCTTTCCCAGGTGGAGTTGAAAAGGGCACCCAAGCGCAAGGCCAAAGCCGCGGCCAAGGCGACTGCAGCCCCCCCCCCAACCACACGCGAGCCGACTGAGCCTGTGAGAAGGGAGACGTCTCCTGCAAGATCTCTTGGTGGAAGGTCCAGGCTGTCTCAGGGCTCCAGGAACTCAGGAGTGTCAGGCCTTTCCAAGGTGAAGGACCCGAGTGTGAAAGGTGTTTTTAACATACTTTATGATATGCGATTGGTCATTGACTTGTTGCTCGGCTGGTAGGCCCTGGTAGGTAGGCTATTTCAGTGACTTCTGGACTGAGTGAGTAGTGACTAGTGACTAGTGAGTAGTGAGTTGAGTAGTGAGTGTACCAAGTTCATGGAACAGATTCAGTGGCCAACACGCCATGAAGTCATTTTGCATCGAGTGTTCTAGTACCCCTGTACTGCCATTCCTCTCTGAAGATCTTTTATGCTGGCTGGTGTCATTCGGGTTGAAGGTTCCTGCTTCAAATTTGAGCCCTCTCTCCAGGACCGTGCGGAGGTTGAAGGTGAGAGCCAGCTTGACAGCGAAATGCAACGGGTGCAAGCAAAGCTGGGTCAGCCCCAGCAGGTTTGCTTGCTTGGCTTGGACGTGGCAAGACATCTTCGTGGAGAAAAACTGGGCGTCCGAGTTGCTGCTGTACCGGCCTCGGAAATTGCTGTGACACCTCTGAGTCTGATTGTCAGTGTCCGTAACGCAGTAACTGAGTAACTCAGTCACTGAATTAACTACAGTAACTAGATCTTTTCATCATTGGCCCTGCTTCAGTGACAATGATGAAGGCAGTAGCTCGCAAGCAGTACTACTCAGTCGTCATTAGTCATTAGGTGTCCAGGTGCACATAAGTTCCAATTCCAATGCAGTTCCCAGGCAAAAAAGCTCTTGGAGCGCCTCACCGGAGGAGCAAAGCTGCTGCTCGAGAACAGAATTTCCTTGTGCGAGAAAGCGGCAAGCCTTGCGCAAGGTGGTGCTTCCCTTTCAGAGACGGCCCTGCAGCAAGCCGTCACCCTGGTCACGCGGGCCAACTTCGAATTGCCAGTTCAGGTTCGCATGGTGTTGGCCGAACGCCATGCTGCCCACCTGTGGCTGCAGATCAAAGATGTGGCTGAGAAGGCCAGATCCAAGGATGACGCTTTGAGGAAGTTGTCCCAGCTGGAGGCCGTGCAGGTCCTGGTTACGATGCTGGTCCCGGTGAAAGCCAATGTTCAGGGGACCGATGATGTTCTTCGACCTACGTATGCCAATTTGATTTCCGCCATCACGGACAAGCAGGCGCAGGAGCTCGGGGAATGCGAACTTGTTGAGGAGATTGCCATGATGGAGCAGCACAACGAAATTTGGCAGGCAGGATTCTTGTTTCTGTGTCTTTAAGCTCTAAACTAAACTCCAAACCTATGTGATGGAATGCATGTAGGAATCGAGGCCATGGTATGACTGATATGATTAGCGAATTAGCGCAAACCAGATAGGAATGGAGTCGATTGAATAGATATTGATCGTGTTGGAGGATACTCTCCTTTGTAGATTGTAGCTGCTGCTACCCTAATTTCTTAACGCATGCTGTGTGTGCTGGGCTGATGGCAACGTAACAAAACAATGAAGTCAGCCTCATCTGTGGAAGATTGTAGACATTGTAGATTGCAGATTGTTGGATGTTTTATATGTTTGGTTCTAGTGATTCTAGTGTTCTGGTGATTCTAGCGAGCCTGGTTTGTTCTTCCTTCCGCAGGCAAGAGGCCCAGGAAGACATGTTGCTTTGGAAGCTCTGTGATGGCTGTATTGTACTGAGTGCTCTGCTGTGCTGAGTTACTTTACTGAGTACTGTACTGTACTGTACTGTGGTGATTTGCCAAGTATGGTCTGAAGCTATGGGTTTTTGTGTTTGGTCGTAATGGTTTGGGGCACTCTTGGGCTTTTGGATTCTGGAGTCTGGAGAGTTGCGGCGGCTTGCAGCGTGAACCCTCAGCCTTTAAGTTCTAAAGGTCCCGTCCTAGGTCCTAGGTCCTAGGTCTAGGTCCAGAAATCACCCGAGCCGAGAGCCCTTGTCATAGCCGATCTGCTGCCAGCTGATTTTCTCAAAGTTTGAAGTTGGCTTCAGTTTACTGGGTTTGCTAAGTTTACTAGTTACTGGTTACTAGTTACTGATTATTGTGTTGCTGGATTCCTCTTGATTACGGTTGTTCAGTCGTTGAACAAGTGCCGATTGCCGGAACCTTTTTCGTGATGTCAGGCCGTGGGAGACAGCCTGTGCAGCGCATTCTACACAGATGGGCTATGCGACCTTTTGGCTGCTGGCGAGGCCACCTGCCACGTGATCAAGTTCATCTGCTCTACGTTGCTTGAGGAGATTGTGGCTTTGCAGGACCCGGACAAGAGCTGGATCCCGACAGGTGTGCAGACAGGGCTGGAGCGCATCCGCCATGTTTCAGCTGCCTTTGTGACCCTGCTTGATCCTGCAGAAAGCTCCAAGAATGCTGGCATGGACGATCTGCAGTTTCTCAAGAACGAGACCAGCAGCCACAACATCATTGTCACCTCCAAGTCCCTGCTTTTCGGAGGCAATGGGTTTTACAGTGGGCTGGCAGAAGAGATGGAGAAGAAGGCAGGCTCTTCCCGCGCGATCAAGGGTGAGTACGAGGAGATGCTGGCAATGGTCAGGGAGGCGAGGGAGGGCAAGGAGGCGATGGACATCACCCTCATGAAGAAAGCCCTGATGCGGTTGCCAGTGTATGTGGAGAAGATGAGAGACGGTGCTACTCGTGAGCTTTCGAGTCTGCTGCTGTCTGAGCTCCGGGATGCGACATCCACAATCCTGGCGACGGAGAACGTCCCCGAGGCCGAGAGGAAGTCGGTCAGCCTTGAGATGGTGAGTGTCGTCATCAAGGGCTTGGAGTTGTATCCGATGGATCAGGAAGCGGTCGAGCTTCTTCACCGGCTGGAGAAGTTCAAGGAGTCTGCCGGCACAACTTTGGGTGTGCAAGGCTTTGTGGAGGCAGTGCTTCGTTGCGTGCCTTTGGATGCCTCCCCGGACAATCTGCGCAGCCTGCCGTTGAAGGATGTGGCGATTGCTCTCGAGAACATCGGTGGTCTGCCGGACGAGCTGACTGCAGATGCCCCGTGATAGTGATGATTATCTGATGGTTCATAAAATCATAAACGAGTCAGCTATTCAACTACACTACGGTATCAGTCATTATCACTACTCTTTACCCAACTATTCTAATCTAGTGAATCTAGTGACTACTCTGGTGACTCGAGTGGCTCTGGTACTCCAGTTGCTATTCCACCATTAACTATTAGTGACTATTCCTTCTTTAGTTTGCTATTTCAGTTTCCTGGTACCGGGTACCGTGGGTACTGGTCTCGCTCTGGTCAGAGGCCCTAGGCCTTGCATTTAATGAATTTAATGATCACTGTATTTCTGTTTCTGTTTGTCAGAGACTATAGACTTGGTTGAAATGTTTTAATGGCTAATGAATTTTTATCGCTGCTGCTACTGCTGCTGCTTGGAACCCAATCAAGGTCATGTGGGGCTTTGGTGCCAATGATATGAAAACAACGGGCTCATGTCTTATAGTATTGGGCCTAAAGCCTGGCCAAACGACAGCTGTCGGACTCTATCCGCTATCAGAGGTTGGAACATTCTTTAGATTAGAGTCATTAGAGCTGAACAACTGCCATGGGCCATGGCATTCATCTTCCGAATCAGCAATGAGCCA